CTTAAAACAAACAAAAATAGAAATTGGCAGGGAAATTCAGGTCAGGCAGCATATGTTAAACAGACAAACAGAGTGAACATTTTGAATACAGTAAACCCTTGTTCAGAACTAACCCCACAGACTGTAACCACAGACTTAAGCTAACTAAGATAAGAACAAGAAGGATCTAATGAAAACCTTTTGAGTATTTTGAAAAAAAAGACATGTTAATGATGCTCATTCATCAGGATAGTTTGCAAGAATACCAATTGAAGGTGAGCACATTAGCAGGCTGATTGTAAACGTGCAGATGGTGGGTCAGTGGTTAGCACTACTGCCTCACACTTTATTTTAGGGCCAGGGATCGGGTTTGATTCCAGCCTCGGGTGACTGTCTGTGTGGAGTTTGCACATTCTTCCTGTGTCTATGTGGGCTTCCTCCAGGTGCTCTGGTTTCCTCCTACACTCCAAAGATGTGCAGGTTAGGTAGACTGGCCACGCAAAGTCAATGGGCTGAATGGCCTGCTTCCACACTGCAGGGATTCTACGACTTCCATGGAAAGTGACTGGTGAGGAGTTGCCATGGAGCGGGGTCATGCTGACTCCTTCTGACTGACGATTAGGACCTTCTGATTGAAAAACTGAAAGAACTGCGGATGTTGTAAATCAGGAACAAAAACAGAAGTTGCTGGAAAAGCTCAGCAGGTCTGGCAGCATCTGTGAAGAAAAAATCAGAGTTAAAGTTTCATGTCTGGTGACCCTTCCTCAGAACTGATGGTGGCTGGGAAAACGTTGGTTTATTGCAGAAAACAGGGAGGGGGAACGAGTAAACAATATGATCAAGGACAGAGCCCGAAGAGAAAGAAGAGCAGTTGGATAGACAAAGGAGTTGATAACGATCTGGCTAGGATGGTGAATAGCTGTTAATGGGGACCGTTAGTGACCAACAACAGGTAGCGTGTAATGGCAGGCTATGTGGTAACAAGGCCTGGTGTGTGGGGTAGGGGACTAGGACATGGGAGAGTTAGGCCCTAAAATAATTGAACTCGATATTGAGTCCGGAGTGCTGCAGGGTCCCAAGTGGAAAGTGAGGTGTTGTTCTTCCAGCTTGTGTTGAGCTTCACTGGAACACTGCAGTAAGCCAGAGACAGAGATGTTGGCCAGGGAGCAGGGTGGTGTGTTAAAGTGGCAGGCAACTGGAAGCTCAGGGTCTTTTTTTGCGAGCAGAACGTAGATGTTCTGCGAAGCGGTCACCCAGTCTCCTCTACATTGGGGAAACGAAGCGTGGACTGGGTGACCGCTTCGCGGAACATCTACGTCCTGCTCGCAAAAAAAGACCCTGAGCT